TCTCAATCAGCATCTATCAGTGACTCACAGCACTTGGGCTCATTGCGCACAGCTGCAAACTTCCATTTTAGACCCCAAATACTCAGTATTGCAAGTCACTTTGTTACCAGTTACCCTGCAGTCAAAATAGGACAGGAACCAATAAATAGTCATTTAAAGTCTAGTATATATTGGTTTTATTAGCAGCTACAGGTTAAATGCTAGGTTTGTCATGGCTGGCTTTCCTCTACCGGGAAACGATGGGACCTACCCGACTTCAAAAATGTGGGGTCATACCTTATTTTTATACTTCAGTGTACATAGTGTAAGTTCTTGGCTTTTTAGCAAACTTGTTGACAGAGTTGATAAACTTTTCCCTCCCACAGCATTGATGATGCAACAGCCCTAATTCAAGAATATCAAGAGAAATGTGGAAATCCTACTCTGGTAGACATACCATCATCTGACCTTCTGAAGGTAAAACAAACCACCTGTGTACCTCGTGCAATATTTTCTCCTTTTTTTCTAAACTAAGACTTTCACTCAACTTTTAGCAAAAATACTTCTTAGCTGATTTTAGTAAAATATATTGTGTATAGTGAAATATCCTTTTATTAATTCAAGTAATTCATTTTACTTGAACCAAATCTGTGCCATGCTAAGCCTTATGCTTTCATGTACTTTCACAGGTCTTAGATTATATCCTGTTTTCCTAAGCCCTATTAATATTGTTCTTTTACCTTCCAGATGTATCTGAATGGACCAGAGGAGACCTGTGTACTAGAACCGTCATCGATAAGATCTTGATTTACCCTTTTCTCCCTCTACTGGCAAGATGAGGGCCATGCATTGAGGATGCTCATACCGGTCGAGTGAACGTTAAACTAAAACCTCAATGCTCTCTTACCAAAAGCTACCCCCAGCTTTCCACATTTCTTTTTAACTGTTCTAGGCTGTTTCTTCCCCATACTCTATCCCCATTGAAACAGTTTAGATTTACAGAATTTCCTGTTTCTATTCAACATTAATGTTCATGTTCAGCACTTTGATTTTAGGAAGGATTAAAGTTTATTTCCTTTACTACTATATTTCTCCGTGTTTAAGTCTGCTGTCAGGATCACTCTAAGATTTCATTCACACAAACATAACCTTGCATAATTGTGATGAACTTTTTTTAAAACTGTAAGTGGTGTACTTCATGTAAAATACACTTTGTAGACCAATTGTAATTTTAACTACAGTGAGCACAAATAAACAGACTTACATATCAATTTTGGCCTTACAGTATTCTATAAGCCTTTTTTAATTATGAAGTTGTCAGTAAATTGATGTTCCACTCAGTCGCTAACCTTCCTTGAATGTGTGCCAAGGTTTTCTTTTCAACTTTGTTCTTTCTGTATGTCTGCAGCAGGATAAAGCAATAGGCACACGTTTCACTGCATGCAATAGCACTTAGCCAAAGGTTCCCAAGATACCAGGCTGAAATGCTTGGTCTTTTTCTAGGGTAAAGCAAGTTTATTTTGAATAGGAAGAAGTTAGTTACACAAAAGTAAGAGTTCTAGCTGATCCCTTAAGTTGTATGAAAACCATTAGTTTAACTCAAACCTTTGTGACAATTACCACACAGCTTTTTGCAGAGATACTGCACTGGAAAAAGTCATAATACTAAGGTCAACATCTGCAAAGGAAACAGGCCACCATTCTAAATGTTCTTCTCTAGAAGGCAAGATAAAACTCTGGTTTTATTGGAAAGTTAGCAGTCATGAGAAAGGGGAGCTGTTAAAATACCTTCAGTTCCCTGCAGTCATGAGAACAGGAGAGCCAAAAGATCCAGTCATCTTGAACAACCAATGTTTTAGCCTTCAGCAGTAGTACGAGTGCCATGTGGAATTACACTATTTAAAACCTCTGTACATGGAGCAAAGTGTGTATACGTGTCATGTCAGATATAAGCTGTAAATAAAGGAAAGCCTCTCGTCACTGTTTATAAATTTAACGAGACCATCATTCATTAAAGCATAGTGGTATTTGAAACTGCTTTGATTATAAAAAGACTGAAGTGAAATTACTACTGTAAGTTATGAGTTAATTGTAATATTTTCAGAATCTACCACTCCATTTTATTCTTTTAACTTAATTGGGAATGTTAAATTGAGAAAATGAAATATCAACTGGATTCCAAAGCAAACACAACATGGCCCCAGAGCCCTCAATCTTCTCGTCCAAGCCCTTTACCAGCATCCTTTAGAAGTCAGTCACCAAACCAGAGCATCAGGCATTTTAAAAGCACCTACAACTGTTGCATTTTTTTCCCAACAACAGTTCATAAAGCTTAGTTTTTCTATGAAGTGGAGTTTATTACAACATTAAGGAACAGTATTTAAACAGTTCTTTTCATGGAATATTTTACAAATCAATTCATACAGAGAAAAGCAAACAAACACAATTATTTTAAAATTACCAATAAGCTACATTGTTAAGCTGTTAGTGAGTAAGTGTAGTACTGTAAACTAGCAATCAAGTATTGTAGTAACTTGCAGTTCAGCATGAGATGGTAAAAATACCAGACAAGCAAATACATTTTTAAGACTTTTTGTACTCAATTCTTTCTACTTTCACATCATCTCCAATTAGTTGATAGACATATGTGACTACTGTAGAAGCCTGGATATCCATCAGCACAAATGAAGGAATGATGTTGCTGGAAAGAGAGGAAAAAAGTCACATTAATTGTGCGTATATAATCGCCTTAGCAGTGTTTCACCACTAGTTAATAGAAATCAATCTAAGAGAAATGGATATGAATTTTGTAAGTGCGGTACATCAGATCTGAAGCTTTAAGTATTCCATTCTCATCTGTTTCAGTCAAGGAGATTTAGCAAGTACTATCAACCCTTCCTCTCCCCGACAATTAGAATGTAAACATTAACCTTCATAATGAGTTTTGTAGTTCAGTTTTGTTATCAAAAAGACACCCCCCCCCAGGTATTTCCCACACTTCACTTACTTCTCTAAGGCATGATAAGCTCCTGTAGCTGATCCTGGATTGATATAGAACTTGTTTTCATGTTCAAATGCCTCAAATTTGTGCGTATGTCCTGAAATTAGGATGTCCACATCAAACTGCCTTTGTAGCAGCGCCAGGCTGGCCATATCACCCCAAGGAATAACCTGATGGCCATGAATCAGCCCGATTTTGAACTGTCCAACAGTTACAACTTTCTGTTCAGGATAATTCAGGTTCTAAAAATAAAATAAAAAAACAAAAAACAAACAAAACACACAAAAAACCACACACATTAGATGTACATATTTGTATTTAAAATCTCTATGCAACACCAAGAAGAGAGGGGGAAAGCTTGTGGAAATATTCCATGTAATTGGCCCTACCGCTACAAAATGAGACCTACAAAGCTGCTTTTATGAACACTGGAGAATGGTAGGACGCAAGGAACTTCAACGACCTGACAACAGCCGGTCCTGTTTGCTGGAGTCCTAGACGTAGCCAAGTACGCAAATTACTTTTGTTCATACTGATGACAGATAACAACTTACTGTGCAATTCACGTTATTGATTGCAACCCCAACTCTTTTGCCCAGTTTTCTTTCCACGTGCTCTTAGTACTACGTAAGCTCGGCTTGCCCACTTCTACTTGAATTATTTGAATAACCCAAATGTTGCCTTTATGTAAAAGATGCAGAGAAAACATCGAGAGAGGACACTACCTCATCAAAGTCCCCTCTGACAACGTGAACATCCCCAGCCAGGGTCTTGAGGTAGTCATAAGTGTCCTTGGTGCAGAGGTTTCCTGTGCAGAGGATGTGCTGGATCTTTCCTGGAACCAGCAGTTTTTTGAATTTGGCTGGGAGGCTGTTGCAGCGGTGGGGAATGTGAAGATCTCCTAATACTAACACCAACTTATCAGGTGTCACGACAGGAAAGGAAGATCATTACAGATACTTATTAAGACAAGAATCATTGGCAAACAGAAAGCATTGCAATGTTGTCTTCAGTTTCATAACTTTGCATTTTGATGTAAAAGCTACTAAAATAAGAATGAAATGGTGATGGAATGTTGCTAGATTGAGGGAAAACAAGGGCCCTTACTAACACAGAACATTATCCAGATGGGGGGCTTACAATCACAATAGTCTACAGATTTTTTTTTTATTTTGTTGCTGAAAGCCACTGTGAGGTATAACAACAGAAAAGTGTTACTACTATCGATGTATTTTACACAAATTTGGGAACTACCATAAACTATCCCACTTTTTTTCCCTCCTTAAACATCCAGAAAAAAAATAATACAGGACATCTCTAGTATATGTTCTCAAGCACAGACCTGGCTAAACTGTGGCCACTTCCCTTTAAAACTCTTCATCCGAGTTTCTTTCTACTTTAATTAACTTCTGTTTTGTTCCTTATCATGAAGAAAAAAAAAAAAAAACAGCAAACTTGCAACCTGCGTTAATAGCTGACCAGAATAGGAAGCTTGTCCAGAGTCCGCATTGTAGGAACCACTGAACAACAGGATAAGACTAACAGTTTAAAACAAAACAAAAAAAAAACCAAACGAGGGCACTGCAGAGAAGATAAGCCAGACTACTGCACACATTGGTTCCATTACTAGTTCTATATATTCATAGTTTCAATACAATAGATGCAAGGACAATGCAAATTTAATGGGGGCTTCAAAATTAAGGATTCAGATGAAGTAAGACCATAGTTTAATATCACAGGCTTTAAAGCTGCGAATAAAGAAATAATTAATGCGAGCAACACAGCAATAAATTAATTATGCAAAAAGGGCATGAAAAGCTCTATAAAGCACGGGGTGTTATGTCACTACACTGTAAAAACACTGGATCTAGAGACAGTCATTATCAAGTTAACTTGATAAACAGCTCCATGTTAAAAGAGACAGTTTGTCTTCCAACCATAATGCTTTGTTAGTAAGACAGTTCCTAAAAGGACAGCCATCAAATGTGTTTGTAAAAGACACCGCCCAGATACATATATATATATATATATATATGTAAGCAGTAGTAACTACGCTAAGAATTTACCTTTTTTAATATTTGCTTTTTAAATTTTTAGGCCATGCAGCTATTTTCATGCTAACAGTCATCAAAAAAGGCAGAGGGAACTCGGGTGGGGTTTTTGTTTGGGTTTTGGTTTTTTGAGATTAAGAACGTCTCAGTGCCATCACCAAAGCCCTGCACCTTTGGAGAACAGATGGTTGAAAGTATCGGTAAAGCGATACAAGATTTTTTTTAATCAATGAGCTACCAATTTAAAACTAACCCAGGAGAGGGGGGGGGGGGGAAACACATTTTTTTTTTGCCTTTGAACATCCCCAGCCAGGGTCTTGAGGTAGTCATAAGTGTCCTTGGTGCAGAGGTTTCCTGTGCAGAGGATGTGCTGGATCTTTCCTGGAACCAGCAGTTTTTTGAATTTGGCTGGGAGGCTGTTGCAGCGGTGGGGAATGTGAAGATCTCCTAATACTAACACCAACTTATCAGGTGTCACGACAGGAAAGGAAGATCATTACAGATACTTATTAAGACAAGAATCATTGGCAAACAGAAAGCATTGCAATGTTGTCTTCAGTTTCATAACTTTGCATTTTGATGTAAAAGCTACTAAAATAAGAATGAAATGGTGATGGAATGTTGCTAGATTGAGGGAAAACAAGGGCCCTTACTAACACAGAACATTATCCAGATGGGGGGCTTACAATCACAATAGTCTACAGATTTTTTTTTTATTTTGTTGCTGAAAGCCACTGTGAGGTATAACAACAGAAAAGTGTTACTACTATCGATGTATTTTACACAAATTTGGGAACTACCATAAACTATCCCACTTTTTTTCCCTCCTTAAACATCCAGAAAAAAAATAATACAGGACATCTCTAGTATATGTTCTCAAGCACAGACCTGGCTAAACTGTGGCCACTTCCCTTTAAAACTCTTCATCCGAGTTTCTTTCTACTTTAATTAACTTCTGTTTTGTTCCTTATCATGAAGAAAAAAAAAAAAAAACAGCAAACTTGCAACCTGCGTTAATAGCTGACCAGAATAGGAAGCTTGTCCAGAGTCCGCATTGTAGGAACCACTGAACAACAGGATAAGACTAACAGTTTAAAACAAAACAAAAAAAAAACCAAACGAGGGCACTGCAGAGAAGATAAGCCAGACTACTGCACACATTGGTTCCATTACTAGTTCTATATATTCATAGTTTCAATACAATAGATGCAAGGACAATGCAAATTTAATGGGGGCTTCAAAATTAAGGATTCAGATGAAGTAAGACCATAGTTTAATATCACAGGCTTTAAAGCTGCGAATAAAGAAATAATTAATGCGAGCAACACAGCAATAAATTAATTATGCAAAAAGGGCATGAAAAGCTCTATAAAGCACGGGGTGTTATGTCACTACACTGTAAAAACACTGGATCTAGAGACAGTCATTATCAAGTTAACTTGATAAACAGCTCCATGTTAAAAGAGACAGTTTGTCTTCCAACCATAATGCTTTGTTAGTAAGACAGTTCCTAAAATGACAGCCATCAAATGTGTTTGTAAAAGACACCGCCCAGATACATATATATATATATATATGTAAGCAGTAGTAACTACGCTAAGAATTTACCTTTTTTAATATTTGCTTTTTAAATTTTTAGGCCATGCAGCTATTTTCATGCTAACAGTCATCAAAAAAGGCAGAGGGAACTCGGGTGGGGTTTTTGTTTGGGTTTTGGTTTTTTGAGATTAAGAACGTCTCAGTGCCATCACCAAAGCCCTGCACCTTTGGAGAACAGATGGTTGAAAGTATCGGTAAAGCGATACAAGATTTTTTTTAATCAATGAGCTACCAATTTAAAACTAACCCAGGAGAGGGGGGGGGGGGGGAACTACATTTTTTTTATGGCCTTTCCAGAGTTCCCAGTGAAAAATACCCTCACTAGCACCAGTCTAGAGATGATATACTTGAATGCAAGCAAAAATGGATAACAAGTGGTTTTGATTATTAAAGTGGCGATAGATCGATTCTCTTAACGATGCATAAGGGACTTAGACATGCAATATCAGTTACGGATTTAATGTTTAATGAAATTATACTGCCACTTAAAACACATAACCCCACTGAAGTCAGCAGAGCTTGTGCATTCAGCAAAGACCATTTCCTTTGCTGACGAACTGGCAGGCCCCGTATTTTCCCCCAAATCACGTTTGAGCTCCCATTAATTAAAGAAGAGCTTGGCAAGCTACAATAACAAAAACAAATTAAAAGCATTGAAGTGTGTTTAACAATCACAGGTATCTGCAACATAAAGTAGCGGCAAAGAATGTTACAACATCTGGCTTTAACTAGGAATTTAGGTGCGATCTTGAGCGTGGTTTGAACAGCAGCCCCTAATTCACATGTACCATCTGACATTGATATCGTCTAGTAACGTTAACAAGCCCTTACCACCGGTGTTAGCAACAGCCAAGAGGAGTAAACTTACTCTGTGCCCAGCCTTATTGGAATGAAGAAGTTGATTGCAGGCAGGGGGGGATGAAAAACAGGGTGAAACATGATCAATGTTAAACAAAAGAAAGCAACAGAAAAGAAAATATAGCCAAATGAATAGGCAAATAATAATTAATGAATTGTTGATGTTATGAAAGAAGCGTTACAAAAAAAAAAAACACAAGAAAAATCAAAATTCGGCTCC